GGGGGAGAGAATATTTTATATTTTAGGGCGTTATGTTTATCGTAAGAGTACGGAATGAGGGTTGCAGAGTTTATTATATTTGGGGGTTGGCGGATGTGTGTGGGGGATTGCATACCAATGAGGGAATTTTTCTTTTGCGTTTGAAGGAGAGGAGCAAATGGGGGATGGGGGTAGGGACGGCGTGGAGAGGGGTGCAACAGTGAATGAATGGAATTCCAAAATCTCTGTAGATGTTCATTGAAATGAAAAATAATGAAAAAAGTGTAGAAGTAGCTATATTAATCTCTGATGAGATAAATGTTAATGTAAAAACCATCATAAAGGACAAGGAAGGGCACTACATAATATCTATGCACCAAATGAATACGTGCAAAATACATAAAACAAAGATTAACAAAACTGAAAAAGGAAATAGAGAACACTACTATTGTACTTGGAGACTTCAATACACCCCTCTCAAGAAAAGACAGAGCTACCAGAAAAAAACTCAACAAAGATACTGAAGAGTTAAACCATACAATAAACCAACTTGACATCATAGATATTTATAGGCTAATGCACCCCCAAAAAACACAGTATACCTTCTTCTCCAATGTGCATGGAAGAGTCTCTAGAATAGATCACATTCAGGGAGCTCTGGTGGCCTAGTGGCAAGAAGCTGCACTGAAATCTCGAAGGCACACGGTTCAAATTCACCAGATGCTCTGCTGGAGAAGGAGGGGCAATCTCCTCCTGTACCAGTCAGACCAGATTTAACGGTACACACACAAAATATAATAAAAAAAAAGAATCAATAACTTATAAAATATAGAACTAATACAGTGCATCTTTTCAGACCATAATGCTACAAAATTAGAAATTAATAATAAGAAGATAAAGGAGGAAAAACCATACATTTGGAAGCTAAACAACACCTTGCTTGAACATGACTGGGTACTAGAAGAAATAGAAATGAAAGAAAAAGTTTTTGAAATAAATGACAGTGAAAACACCACTTACCAAAACCTCTGAAAAACAGCTAAAGCAGTAATCAGAGGTCAATTTATAGCAATAAGCAAACATATTAAAAGGCAGGGAAAACTGACTATTGACTCTCTAATCCAACATCTCCAGCAAATTGAAAAAGAACAGCAAGAAAACCCTACATCTTCTAAAAAACCTGACAGTATAAAAATTAGAGCAGAAATACATGAAATAGAAAATCGAAAAACTATTGAAACTATCAACAAAACTAGCACTTGGTTCTTTGAAAAGGTTAATAAAATCGACACGCCATTAGCGAAATTCACAGAAGAAAAGAAAGATACAAATAATCCGAATAAGAGATGAATCAGGCAACATCACAAGTTTAAAAGAAAAAAGCAAACACTAGAGTATTATGAAAATCTATACTCAAACAAATATGAAAACTTAGAGGCAATGGACAAATTAGAAAGGTGTCCTTATATTTATATAATTGGATTAACTAGTTTATCAGCTCTTCCACTGATAGCTATTTAGATTATTCTGCTTTTGAAATGCTGTGGTGACTATAATCATGCATGCATCTATAAATCCTTAATAAAGTACATGTGAGTTGTATTGTTCTGTTAGGAGAGGTGTTAGAATTTAGAGAAACTCCTGGAACAATGTTGTTGTTGTTATGTGCCGTGGAGTCACTTGCGACTCATAGCGACCCTATGTACAGCAGCCCTAAACTCTGCTCTGTCCTGTGCCAGTCGCACTGTCTCTGACACTCCCATCCCGATTATCCCAGTCACTGAATCAATCCACCTCATAGAGGGCCTTCCCTTCTTGCGCTGTCCCTCCACCCTCCCAAGCATGATGTCCTTCTCCAAGGACCGGTCTCTCCTCACAACATGTCCAAAGTATGTTAGACGGAGCCTCAGAATCCTTAGAAAACATTAAAAATTTTGTCAGATTTTTATCAAGTTGCTTTTCAGAAAAGATTTGCTAGCTTATACTTCTGTCACTCATAAATATTCCTGAGGCCCTGTTTCCTCCTGTCTGTCAACAGCAGATAAGTCTCTTGTCCTTTTGTAATCACTTACTAGAGTTGTGGTAACTCATTGTTTTACTTTACATTTTGAAGTCATGATTGAAATTGATTTTATGTGTACATTACTTATTTTTCTGTTAATTGCTTATTTGCATCCTCCATTCACTTCTCTTTTGGGTTGTTGATGTTTTTTATTGATTTGTTAACTCTTTGTTTTTTAAGGAAAAGAGACCCTTAGCACATTTTGGAATATTTTTCTACTGTTTATTGTCAGACTTTTCAATCTTGTCATTTATAGCTGTTGCTTTTTAAAATTTAGTTCATTGCTTTTATTAACTTGTTTGAAATGCAAATTGTTGTAAAACACAGGTGGGAAATACTACTAGCAGAAGACAGTAAAATAGATGAATGGGAACAAAACATTCTGATGGCAGAAAAAAACACATGAAGAAATATTGGAAATGCTTAGAGATGCAAATCACACAACTATGAGATATCCTCTCATAGCAAACATCAAATACCGGTGAGGTTGTAGAGACATTGGAACTCTTATTCACTGCTGGTGGGAATGTAAAATGGTACAATCACTATGGAAGGCAGTCTGGTGCTTTCTCAAAGAGTTGGAAACAGAAATACTGTTTGACCCAGTAATTCCACTACTGGGAATATACCCTAAAGAAACCAGAGCCATAACTCAAATAGATTTATGCACAACCCATGTTTATTACTGTGTTATTCACAATAGCAAAGAGGTGGAAGCAACCCAAGTGCTCATCAGTAAACAAATGGATAGGAAAACTGGTACATTCACAAATGGAATATTGTACAGCATTGAAAAACAATGAACTCGTAACATATTACACAACATGGTGGAGGCTGGAAGACATTATGTTGAGTGAAATATAACAGTCACAAAAGGACAAATACTGTGTGGGTAGATAATGAACACTGCATTGGAACAGATATATAAATATAAATAGCTCTGGAAATATAAAGGACTCTTAGAGAAATATATTATTAGGTATTATATGTATGACAACAATCTGGAATAAGAGGTGTATTGCAAAGTGGACCAGGGAAGGGAGAGAGGGTGAATTGTGCAACAATGAATATAAAAAATGTCCAACAAAAAAAAGTTTTTAAAATGGAAAAAAGTTTTAAAAAGTTTAAAAATGGGAAAATAATCCTAAAGTTAGTGGCAAGAGAAATAAATGGATCCAGTAGTATTTTAAATTAAGATCAACCTAATGGTGAAGGACTGGACTAAGCCATGTTAATTTTTTAAAATTTTTTTCTTTATTCATTCATTCATTGTTGCACTTTTCTCCCTGCCTACCCCTCCCCCAGTACACTCTCCTCTTTGAAAACTAAATGTAAAATTCCTTCATTGTTTTACAGCCCCTCCCCTCAGGTCTACTCCACTATGCAGCTTTCGTTCTGGACTCCTGTCATGACAAAAATACCTAATCACATCCCTTTTAAATAGTTTTCTCCCTTACCTGTTTCAATGCAGTATACATTATTTATCCCATCTTTCTCAGTCTCCCCCCCAACCCCGAGGTCAGTCCTGTTTTACAACAGTGGCACTATGCAGTATTTGTCCTTTTGTGACTGAGATACTTCACTCAGCACAGTGTCCTCCATGGTCACCCATTTTGAATAATATTGCATGAGTTCCTTATTTCTCAGTGCAGCGTAGTATTCCGTTGTGTGAATATACCACAGCTTCTCTATCCATTCATTTGTTGATGGGTACTTAGGTTGTTTTCAACTCCTTGCTATTGTGAACAAAGCTGTGATAAACATGGGTGTGCATATATCTTCTTGGGTGGCAGTTATGGTCTCTTTTGGGTATATTCCCAGTAGTGGAATTGCTGAGTCAAATGGTATCTCGAGGAAGCCATGTTAATTTTAAGCACAGTATTTTTATTGTATATTTTTATTCTAAAGGGAAAAAATGAAAACAAGTCTTGGAATTTTTATGTTTGTCCTTTTGTAATATTATAAAACTGTTTTGGTTGTACGATTGAGCAAAGTGAAGGCTCCTGTTTTCTTCTGACATAGCTGCAGCATAAGATACGTACAACATGCCCTGTGGCAATGGGACAATTAAAACAGACCTTCAAGGAATAATAAAAAAAAAGATGATTGAAGGGGGGCGAGGAAATTACCTAAAATATAGATGAATAGAATATCATACAAATGAAACTAATTCTATAAATAAATAGAAATTTTTTAAAAAAACAAAACACAATGTAAATGAAGGAAAGTGTGAAACATGATGTATATGAATTTTGTGTGTAAGCCAAAATAAATATTTCAAACAAAAGAGGGGGGAAAGTTACGTACAACATGGGAGATTGTAACTCTGCATAACAGAACAACTGTAAATGATCTCTAGTTTTGTAAATCGTAGTTACTGTATTATTAATGATTGTGATTCGTATGTCGTTATATATTGTCTTTGTAATTTATTCTTCACAGGCATCACTGTTTGAAATAGCAAGACTTTACATTTGGAACAGTGGAAATGAAGCCCTGTACAGCAGTGAAGGGTTTTTTGTAAAGAACTTTATATTCTGCTCTGAGAGCTTGTAACTCTGATTTCTAGTTTGGGTTGTTGTGTGCCGTCAAATTGCCTGCGACTCATAGTGACCCTAAGTATAATAGCCCTAAATCCTGCTCTATCCTGTGCCAATCTTACTATCTCTGACGCACCTAACCACATTACCCCAGTCACTCAATCAATCAGTCCATCTCATTATTTTTGCTAATACTTAAAGGAGCCAGTTCTTTTAATTTTTTGAGAACTAAAATATGTTTAGTGATTGCATGGAGCGTAATTGATGGAAAAGGAATGGTGCATGGAGGATAATTGATGGAAAAGGAATGGGAAGAAAAGTATTTTTTAATTTGTGCATTCAAGGTTAAATTTCGGTTGTGTATCTGCAGTACCTTGGTTGGTGTTAGTTGGATTGATGGCATCTTTCTTTCTTTGCAGATGTGATGGATAGGTAACAGAAGATAGCCTCTCCTCTTGGCAGGGAGTCAGGATGACCGAATGCTTCCTGCCCCCCACAAGCAGCCCCAGTGAGCACCGCCGGGGGGAGCATGGCAGTGGTCTTACCAGGACCCCCAGCTCTGAAGAGATCAGCCCCACTAAGTTTCCTGGATTGTACCGCACTGGGGAGCCCTCACCTCCTCACGACAGCCTCCATGAACCTGCTGATGTTGTGTCTGATGATGAGAAGGACCATGGGAAAAAAAAGGGAAAATTTAAGAAAAAGGAAAAAAGGAGTAAGTGTCATTCTTTCCTGTACTTCAGCTACCTTTTAGACATGTTGCCACGTGTATCTACTACTCTGGAAACGTCCAAAGAGTCTGTATTTTTTTAGACTTTTGTTCTTCAGAGCTACAATGTTTAGACTCAGTCTCACAAATAAAAATAAGGAATTTGTGGAAGTGGTACATCTTTTCCAGTTGAAAGGAGTAATTTTAAATAAAGTTGTTGTTAGGTGCAGTTGAGCCAGCTATAACTGACAGCAGTCCTGGGAGTAACCTTGGCCATTCATCCCTGGACCATCCTCATGGTCTCAGCACGCTCCGGCCTATTGGTACAGTCATTGTGTCAGTCCATCGGTCTCGTTAAACATCCTCCTCTCCTTTGCTGACCTTCTGCCCTTCCCATTATGATGTCTTTTTCCAAAGATTGGTCCCTCTTAACAACATGCCCAAACTATGTGAGATGATGTTCCACCATTCTTGCCTCTAAGGAGCAACCTGGCTGTAGTTCTCCAAGACACTTGGTTCTTTGGAAAGTCTGTGGGATGTTCAGTACTCTTTGCCAGCAACACAGTTCAAAGGTGTTGCTTCTTCGGTTGTCCTTATTCATCGTCCAACTTTCAGATGTTGTTGTTGTTGTT